AGTACCACCTAGTGGACAGCAAAAAACAGCACAGGCTCTGGACCCAAATGACCAGTCCTAAAATAGCTCGCTTCCAAATTCCTAGACCCTTTGCTACCTACACACAAGGGGGAGACTATAAGGAAGGAAGTGTCGAGTAGCAACACAGCAGCCTGGGGAATAGAAAAGAAAGCCAGAAGCTAATGTACTTTTTCATAAGCTGCCTTCGGGGAACTGAGTAAGTAGGACCAGAGAAAGTAATAGTTTATTCCCTCATCATTGGTTATAGCCATGGCTTGCAAACTTCAAGCATACACGTGTGCACTCATTATTTATTACACACACACACACACACACACACACACACGGGGGGGGGGGACAGATTATGGGCTGGATTATACTCTTACTGTGATGGTATTTGGAAATAAGACCTTAAGGCAATAATTAGATTTAAAAGAGGCCATGAGATAGGGTACCCTTGATAGGATTTATCAAAGGGGATTCTTCTCTAGGATGATAAACCCGGGAAAAGCCACAGGACAGTATATAAGAGGGCAGCTACATTCGAGGCAAGATGAGAAACCTCTCAGAATTGAAATACTGGTAACTTTCTCAACTGGTTTTGTGGAGGGAGTAAAGTTTCTCCTTTGTACTATTCTTGTTTGTTAACTTGACGCATTTGGGAAGAGGGAACCTCAATTGAGGAATTGCCTGCTTCGGATTAGACTAAGAACATGTCTGTGGGGCATTTTCCTGAGGATAACTGGAGAAGGTCCTAGGTCAGCGGTTCTCATCCTGTGGGTTGAGGCCCCTTAGCGGGGTCAAATGACCCTTTCACAGGTCACTTAAGACAATGGGAAAACACAGATATTTATATTATGATTCATAACAGTAGCAAAATTACAGTTATGGAGTAGCAACAAGAATAATTTTATGGTTGGGGGGTCACCACAACATGAGAAACTGCTTGGTCACCGGTTGGTGCAACTGCATCAGAAGAAGCTTGTTGGAGATTTGTCACTGGGGTTGGGCTTAGAGGTTTCAAAAGCTCCTATCTGTTGGGAGCCATACAGCTTGGCATGAACCTTTAGGCCAAACTTGGCAGGCCACATGGTTATAGAACTGTCTTTTGGTTATAAATGGCTTCTAGAAGCATGAGCACCCAGAAGGAACAACATGACCCAGACGTCAATCCTTTGTTCCAACCACAAGCCCACTTACTTAGGCAACCCTCCCTCACCCCACCACCCATGAACTTTTTATCCTGCCAATATCCTCCTCCTATAGTTTTCTGACATCCTGCTTGAACTAACACCTGGCTCTTGGCCTCCTCTTCCCCTCCCCTTTACCCCACTCTACTGACTATATAAGCTAGCCTGGGAAAAATAAATTTTTTTTTAGCAGAATCCTGTCTTGTGGTCATTCTCTCCAAGTCTTTTGTCCCCATTCCCCTCCTTGGATATCTTGCCCTAGGTCGGGGACAACTATACATATCAATCCCAGTTAGCTCTCTTCTGTGCCGTATCTGCCTGCCTACTACGGTGCTCCCTGCCATGATGGTCCTGGACTCTAGCTAACCTCCTGAAACTCTAAGTCCCAAATTAACTCTTCTGTAAGTTGCCCAAGTCATGTAGACTCATCACAGAAATTGAAAGGTAAAAGTAACTGAAACATACAGCAATTAATTATGCTTGCTACCTTTGTTTTTTTCTTTCATCGGAGATAGGGTCTTAAGATATAGCCCTGGCTGGCCTGAAACTCAAAGATCTGTCTGCCTCTGAGTCCTGAGTACTGGGGCTAAAGGTGTGTGCCACCACAGCTGACTTCTATCTGGCTTCAATAGAGGATTTTTATCAGGACTGGATAAATGATTCACAGGTTACAGCTCATAACCATCGTAACCCTAACTCCTAGAAATACTGCACCCTCGTCTGGAACCTGCAGGGACAGGTAGTCAGGTGACATTTACTTACACAGACACACAAGTATAAAAACAAATCCTTAAAAAATGATTCATTTTCATTTTGAGGTAGAGTATAAGGCAGCTGAAGATGTCCTTTATTTTTTAATTTTTCAATCTTATAGGAGGTACCAGTTTTTCTATTATTGAGATGAAACACTGTCAGGACCTGAAAAATATCAATTATGGTATTTCAGGTACAGGCCTCAAACTCTATCCCACGAGCTCAAATCTCACCTTGTCTTTTTTTTTTTTTTTTTTTTTTTTTTTTTTTTTTTCGGGGGTTTTCTTTTGTTTTTTGGGGTGGCTTTGTGG